CCAGCCAGTGAATAAAAGAGGTTCCTCGGGCTTAAGAACTTTTCCCAGACAAGATGTATGGCTGTGGTTACTTGACCAAGGAACTGAATAGAAGGAAATATACCAGAAACATACTAAGAATCCTTCAAGAACCTGTGATTCTTTAGCCCCTAATGCAGTCCCCAGGTCCTCACAACCGATCCTACGTGAGATCATACACTTCAGTACCACACTCCGGAGATGTGGTTACAATGGATAATTGTTGGAAGAACCTTCCAGAGGCAAAGCCAAAGGCCACAGAGGGTAATGAACTAGGAGATTCCTTGGCAGAGCCAAGGTCTAATGGAGAGACACACTTCACTGCCGGGATAGGGAGCCTTTCATCTCAGCGGGCGTTACGTCCTTGCAGTGGTCTGAGGACTGCTGTTTCCCTCTCCTTGCTTTTTTGAAAGAGTGTTTTTGTGATCCTGCTCCTTATTTACCACTATGTTTTTGGTGGGTGGAGGTTGGAAGGACAGATAACTTGTTTTTCAGCAGATGCTCACTTGAAAGAGTCACAGGTGGTCCTGATGGAAGGAAATGCATGTAATTTAGAGGTCCTAGACTTTGAACTGAATGCAGTGGCCAGGTGAAACTTGGTGTTGTTTCACGTGAGCAGGGGAAAGTGTGTTTTATATGTAGGAAGAAGGGTGAGCGTAAATATTTGAGTGACCAGGGGGTGGACTGTAGCTGAGACTGCCAGATGCCTCCTTGTTTGCATTCTCCCTCTTCCTCTGGCAACAGAATTACCTGAATTTTAGATCAACACATGGCCATTCAGCCAAAGGCTTTATTTCTCAGCCTCCTTAGCATCTGGGTTTGACCAGGTAACTTGGTATTAGCTAATGGGATGTGAGGAGAAATCATATATACCATATATTCTTGGGCTATTAAGAGACATAGACATGCCTCCCCTTGTTCCCTTCTCACTTCTCAGTGGCCAAGAGGTTGATAGGGAGTAGGAGCTGTAGCAGCCTTCTTGGGTGGCAAGGGAGTGGCCACGGTGGAGCAGTGAAGTAGCCTGGAGGGCTCATGTTTAGACCGTGACACAGAAATAAAATTTTTTCATGTTGATTTGGGTCTTTGTTAGAGCAACTCAAGCTCATAACCTAATTTATGCAGGTTTACGATGAAGTGTACTATCTCACTGTATTATAACAATTTTTCTTAATTGTGATTCTTTTTATTGTAAGTAGCTAATTAGTGATAAGAACAGTATCAGCGAATAATAACATGTAACAAGTCTTGACTGTAATCCAAAGGCTGGAAGTTCAGCTGCGCCTTATAGGATCTAAAATAGGAATTAGAGGAGCCATCAAGAACTGAGGTGTCCTCTCATCTCTGCCTCTGCAAACTGGTTTTCGAGACTTTGGTTGGTATATAACCAAATATGATTAAACATATCTCAACTTTTACATCATTACCTAACAGAGACAGACTAGGACCTCAGTCCTAATTTTAGAGTTCCTGGGACAGGGAATCTGGCCCAGTTTTGACTAGGGTCCACTTACTTCAGTCAACCCACAGAATGATATTGGAGGACAAAGTTCTCAGAGAAGACTGATGTCAGCTTCACAGGTACCTTATGGTCATTTAATATATGATTCATTTACATGTCTGTCCTCTGTATTATACTTTGTTGCTAAGGCTGTGGAGAAACAGAAACTCCTGTTCATTGCTGGTAGAAATGCAAATTGGTACAACCACTGTGAAGTGGAATTTGGCAACAGCCAACAAAATCATACACGTGTTTGTCTTTGACCACAGCAATTACACTTCTAGGGAGTTGTCCCAGGATACACCTTCAATGGCATGCAAATACATATGCATGAGATTGTTCATTGCAACATTGCTTCTCATTGCAGTTTAAATGCCCAACATAAGAAAGTAATTGAACTGTAGTATTATCCATATGGTGGAATACTATGGAACTATTTTAAAAAATAATAATTATCTCTATAAACAGATATAGAGTGATTTCCAGAATATATTCTTAAGTGAAAAAAGGGAAATACAAAAAAAAATTAATGGTAGCAGTTCTCAAAATGTGGTCTCAAATGGGGGTCCCTGAGATACTTTCAGGTGCTCCATGAGATCAAAACCCTTTTCCAAATAGCACTGAGCCATTATTTGCCTTTTTTCTGAGCAGTGGCATTTGCACTGATGGTGCAGAGCAGTGGGGACAAAACTGCAGGAGCCCCCACAAGTCAAGGCTGCGACAAGTACTCTTTACTGCACGCACTCTTGGTTTTAAGAAAAAAAATACTTTCCTCTAAGAATATTCTTGATGGAGGGGGGTACAGCTCAAGAGGTAGAGCACATGCTTAGCATGCATGAAGTCCTGGGTTCAGTCCCCAGTACCTCCATTAAAAATAATAATAATCAGATAAATAAACTTAATTACCTCCCTCTGCCAAAAGGAAAAAAAAAAGAATATTCTTGATAAAGCAATGAAAATTAGTAATTTTATCAAACTTGAGTGTGTCTTTACTGTCCCATGTGACTGAATAGTAAGGACACACGAAGCACTTCTGATACGCCCAGAGGAGAGCGGTGACCTCAAGGAGGGGTATTTCTGCTGTTGTCTGAGTCACAGGCCGAATGGGCCACTTTTCCCTGGGACACCATTTTTACTTGAAAGAACGACTGACAGACATACTTGGTATTTGACATACATGGGTATTTGACAGTTTTTTTCTCAGATATGAGTGAGGCGGGCCTATCTCTTCAATCAAAGCAATGGATGGTGTGTGTTGCTAATGGTAAAAGTCAAACGTTCAAATCAAAACTAGACTTTTGGAAAAGTTCCATCCACTACTGTGGGCTTTTCAGGTGCCTAATATGTAAAGACTTTTCTAATGGGGTCAGAGATGATATTAAACCAAGTAATTTTTGAGACTGCACAGTGAAATGTGGTGACATTTGGAAGATGGTCATACTTCAGTGAACCATTATTTTCCGAATGCACAAAATCCTGCAGGGTTAAAGAGACAACCAAAGTATAAAAAAAAAATTAATGGATTTTAAAGTAACAGAATTTTTTGTGTATATATATATATATGTATATATATATATATATTTTTTTTATTGAGGGTAGAAGTTATGAACTGGACATCTACCTTGTTCTGAATGTTTATTAATTACAAAAGGAAAAATAACAACTCTTTACTGGAGAAGACCAACAGAGGCCATCTCAACTGAGGAATCAAGTGTAACATCGCCAGTGAGGGGACAAGTGAGCATTGAAATCACTTGCCACCTAATAGGACACCCTGAGAAGAGTATGTTGTCACTTTTGCGATAGACCTGCCCAACTGAAGTAGCTGGAGACAATGCCCACGTGAGGGTCACTCTGTAAAACAACAGGCCTTTTTACCCTTCAAAAATGCCAAGGTCAAGAATGACAAAGAGGCAGCTCCGGATTAAAGGAGACTAGAAACATGCGCTGACAAAATACGGCGTGGGATCCGAGACTGGTTCTTCGTCTAGAAATGTCTGCTTTCTTTTGAAGGAAATTATTTGAAAACTAGCAAAATTTGAATCTGGTTGGTATGTTGGGTAGTCGCATTCTGTCAGTGCTAGTTCCTCATTTTGGTATTTGTACTGTGCAAGAGCGTGTCCTTGTTCTTAGGAAACGCACGGCGAGGTGTTTAGGACTTGAGGGGCAACACACCTGCAACTTGGCAAAAAAGATCACGTGGGAAATGATGTGTGTGTAAAATGATGACCCAAGTCTGGGGAATCTGGGTGAGAAAGAGTACATGGGATTTCTTTGTACTATTCTTACCACTGAAATTATATTAAAATTTTAAAAATTCCAAAATAAAGGTAAATGAGAAAGTAATGAAGTTCTGACACGTGCTATAAGTGGGTGGCGAGGGGGGACCTTGAAGACATCATGCTCAGTGAAATAAGCCAAACTCGGAAGGACAAATATTGTGTGATTCGACTTCTGTTAGGGACCGAGAATGGTCTGGGGTGGATGTAGGTTAGAGCGTGGATCCAGAGACTCCAGTAAAAGAAAGGAGAACTTCAGTTTCATTATCCCGGAAGAAAGAGTACAAACTCTTTTTGCACGTCCTCTGAAGCTTCTCAGCTTTAGTTCTCGGGTTGATAACAGTTGATAACTGGGACAACTGCCCTGTGTGAAGGGGTGGTGGCGGTGGATGGAGGCATTCTTTTATTTATTTTTT